TGTCTCCTGCTTCCAGTGGGACAACTTGACCCCCTATGAGGCTTCTCCCTCCTTAGACCCATTTCTGCTCTAGGAAACGGAGACCCTCCTCTCCTGGTAGAGCTTGCTTGGGACACCAGCACCCACAGGGCTCCGTGCACCGGGTGCCTGCGCCCTTCCCAACCCAATGCTGCAGGAACAGGCAGCTCCGGTGTTGCCGCAGGGGGAAACGGCAGCACGTTCCTTCCACCGGCAGCCAGGTGAGGTCCTGGCAAGAGTGGTGGCTCGGAGGTCAGAAGGGGCTGGCGTGGGCGAGGGGAAGAGCTCTCGCCCACCGGCAGCGAAAGCTTCCAGTGCGGAACGTGGAGTTCCCCGTCGCTCCGGGCTTCCCCCTGGACTTTCCCCTGCCCACGGCCAGGAGGAGGCAGCAGCTCCGCGGGGCGGCTGGGCAGCTGCTCCACTGCTTTTTGGGGGGACGAGGGGAGCGAGCGCTTCCCGGCACCGCAACACTGGCCATTCCCAGCGGATGCTCACGGGGATGCTGGAGGAAGCCTGAATTCCCAGGGCAATCCCACAGCGCTCCAACTTTCCATAGGACACCCTGACCCTCTGCACCCTGCACGAAGGAGCAAACACCCCAGCAGTGACGCGAGGGTTGGGGACGTCCTGCTGATGGGATGTCCCAATGCGCCAGGTTGCCAACCAACGGCATCGGTGCCTGCTGGGACCAAACAGATCCCGAAAGGTTCGTAGGAGCATCCAAAAATACCCCCAAACCAATCCCTAATACAGAGCACAACCATGAAAAATCAGTTCTCCCTCCTGCAGCAAAGGCAGCGGGACAGGCAGCAAGCACAGGGCGCCCCCATCCGCTCCCAGGCGAGCACGGACACCCACCTGGGCCGTGGCTCGCCGGGAAACCTCCGTCTGCGTCAGGCAAAGCCCGAGGTCCCCTTGGTGCCACCCCTGGAGCTGCAGGGAAACCCAGCAGCAGATTCCACTGCCAAGGAACGGGTGTCTTGCAGCAGAATAAATCTGCTCCTTAAATCAAGGTAAAGGAGAATAAAGCAGCCACCGATGCCTGGACTAGGTCCTTGGGAGCCGGGAAACTCCCAGTGCCCCTCTAAAGGTGCTAGGAGGCAGCAGGGGGGAGGCGGGCCCCGGGTCCCCGATCCGGCGGCCGGGGGGCCGGGGAGAGGTCCCAGCCAGGCTGCTCAGCACAGGGAGGCTCCCGGGAAGCCGCTGTTCCCTGCGGTGCCGCCCGGCCGCCTGCGGAGCCAGGACCCGACACACCCCCTGCGCGAATCCCGCTCCTCCAGGGACGTGAGCTCGGCTCCGGGTTGTCATTTCAGCTCGTTAAATGCACAGATAAGGTAGAAAAGAAGGCAGCGTTCAGCGCGATACATCGACTGCCCACCATCAAGAAAATGCACATTTCAGTCCCCTGCAGTGACGGCGCAAGCGCTGAACATGCACAGCAAGAACAGGGGCTCTCCCTGCTCCAAAAGAGGGTTTTGCCCCAGATTTCAACCAAACGTGGATCATATCCAAGCCCCCGGCAGCACTGGGGTGCTCAGCACCCAGCCCGGGCGCCACCCGCAAGCCCCGTGGGGCATTGCCCCTCTCTTGGGTTATTGCACGGCCCCATTCACGGGGCATTTCTGCGAGGGGCAGAGCTGCGGTGGCAGCAGGAGCCCCCACTGGGGCTGCCCTCACCCAAACATGCCTCCAGATTTGGGGATTTTTGCCTGGTGGAGCAAACCCCACGTTGCTGCAGCAGAGCCCAGGCGAAGCGGCGGGAGCTGCGAGACCGAGATGGGCACGGGCGTGAGCTCAGCCTCGCGGCCACCCCTGCCCCTTCCCCT